TAAAAGAGTAAAATTTATGCTAAATAAATTAAAATAGCGTTTAAACTTAAGAAATATATACTGGAAACTGATGGATGTGTGTGTGTGTGTAATAATTTTTATTAAAATATTGCAAGATAAATAGCATTTCCTTCTCCTTGACAGGGAGGGCACAGAGGTTCCCAAGGGCAAACTACCTTTCTCTTTTTATGTCAGTTGTTTCTTGTAGGTATTTTTCATTGAAAGCCCAGATAGTTTATATTTTATGAGATTATTCCTTTAATAAATTACATACTATTATAAAACTTGGGTGTCATTTGCAAGAATAAAAACTAACCAGTCCTCTAGAGAAGGAAAAATAAACTACAGATATCTGAAAGCAGACTTCTCTGCTCTTTAAAAGCAAACCAAAATCTGCCACAAAAAAAAAAAGAAACGTAGTGTTATAGGGAAATATCTCTCTTTAAATTACTTTTTAAAGATGTCATGATAAGGAAAGAAAATATAGGATGGATGGATGATTTTCATGGTTGAAAAGAGTGACCTATTTTCATTCTGACAGGAAAACTATCCCAAGCAAACAGCTAGTGGGAAAATGATTGCTGTGGGTGTGGTAATACAGAGACTGTCACACAATTTATAGTCGAGAACATTGCTTAAACATTTCTCCACTTCTTAACAACTGTAAAATTTTGGAAAGATTATATAGCAATCCCTGTATATGTGTAAAGTAGAGATAATACAATCTTTCTGAGCTTAGTTATTTGTGATAAAATTCAAATTATATATACACATATATAAAACATATAGTTACACACATAATTGCATACATGTAATTATATATAATTTGAACCATGTATATATTTATAGCAATGGACATACATTGGAGTTTGTAGACAATAAAGTATTATTTAAATATGAGCTATCATTCTTGTTACAAAGGACGAAGTCATTTGAAGCAGAATTAAGAAGAATATAATTTAGTAGTTCTGCTCTCTGTAGTCTTGTTGGAATTAAAATGATTTGAAACAGTGATTTCCATGAAAGTGGCAAGAATTATTTATTAAACAAATGAACTCTACTCAAATTAGGTGTTCTTAGATATCAAATATATAAGCAGCAATTGCCTTATTTGTAAGTGTAATGACTGAATATAATTGAAGTACTTAGTGGAATTGCGACATGTGTGTGGTACACTTCCTTTCGTATTCCAAAGTATCCCAGCCTTTAGTAGGATGTGATATCTCTCTTATTTTATACACTGCCAAAGTGCTCCGAAAGGACACCCAAACTGAAGTAAAATATTTTACCCAAACTGGGTAAAAATATAGAACAACCTCCAAGACAGTCTATTTGGTTTACAGCGTTTTAGTGAACATATTGAGTTTTATCAAACATAGTTTCTTAGGTTTATGAGGTATTTCTTCTTATTTATGAAGACAAGGTTAGATTTTGCACTCTTCATGTGTCCCTAAGTGTCACAAAATGACAGAATCCATGAGCTCATCAGTGGCTGGAACATAATCTCATCATTGATGACTCTAAAAACAATATACCAGTCATCTCATTGTTTTCCTTAGATTCATTGATTTTTCTTGTACAATACAGTTTGAGTTTCCTAAACACCTAGTACCCTTGAATGCTTTGTAAGTAATACTCCCTGATACAACACTAATAGAAGAACTGATAATCAATAAAGACCCTGGGCAATTCCTTGCTTTGCTCCATTGTGGTATTTACTATTAATTATTGGATTGCTATTTGATTTGATTTGATTTTAGTGTGAAGGACACTGACTTGGAATTCAGAAACACATAAAATATTCTCACTTCAGTTTTTGTAAAATCAAAATCAGTGATCGAAGGAAAGTGTTTGTGTGTGAGAGCCAGAAAGTGAACATGATCCTTGGAGAAAAGAAAATATAGATCTGAGAGTTTTTACATGAGTCAAATGATGGGTGTGGAAACGGATGAACATTGCAACAGGGGTGTTATCTGGAGCACCCATGGCCTGGGAGCTAGAGTGGTCCTAGGACTAGGAATGTGCAACCTAAGGCTCAGAGGACAGTGGCCTTGAAGGGGGTAAAGGTTCTGTTCAGTTCAGTTCAGTTCAGTTCAGTTCTGTTCTGTTCTGTTTTCTGTTTTCTGTTTTCTGTTTGTTTTCTGTTTTCTGTTTTCTGTTTTCTGTTTTCTGTGTTTCTGTGTTTCTGTTTTCTGTGTTTCTGTTTTCTGTTTTCTCTGTTTTCTGTTTTCTGTTTTCTGTGTTTTCTGTTTTCTGTTGTGTCCTGTCCTGTCCTGTCCTGTCTCCTGTCCTGTCTCCTGTCCTGTCTCCTGTCCTGTTCTGTTCTGTTCTGTTCTGTTCTGTTCTGTTCTATTTGTTCTGTTCGGTTGTTCTGTTTTCTGTTCTGTTGGTTTTAGTCTCAAGTGTAGATTCTAGGGAGGGAAATATGGTTTAGAAGAGGCTCTGAGGAAACATGAGGACAGCTTCCCCCAGACACAGACACTATGATATTTTCAGTGATAGAAAGAGACTCCGTTGAACCTCCTGGAAGGCAGTGATTTCATGGGAGGACCAGAGAGGAGACCAGAGCTACAACAGCTTTTGCCTAGAGTTAAAAGTGCAGAAGACTTGGGGTAGAATTTCTTGGGTTTAGAAAGACAGGAAAGTGAAGCTTGCTGTCACCCTGTCTGCTACCCACGTTCTCCCTGTGGTACTGTATTTGGACCTTTTCTAACCCAGCCTTTCTATTTCCTCCTCTCATCTTTACATATTTCCTCAGTTTATCCTAACACTTCTTGCCTTGTTTTCATTATTCATTTTCTTTGCTGTTGTTTATCTCTCTGAATCTTCTTTCTACTTTCCCCTTTAAATGTCTCCTTCCTTTTTTTTTTTTTTGCTTCCTCAGCCATTTTTCTCCTTTTCTTACTTGATGGTTTCTCTTTGATCAAGGGAATCATCCAGATGGTTGTTTAATACCAGGGTATTTGGAGGTCCTCTAAATCCTCCTAAGGAGTGTCCCGCCACTTGAGAATTGGTCTCTGGCTCTATCTCTACCCTGTGCTTACCTGGACTTTGACAGGTTCCATCCAGTGCTCCAAAGTGTCAGTAGTCACATTCTCCGGTAGTATCACAGGGTCATTAGGGGGGATTACACATGATGGGGAGCACACTGCACCTAAGGAATTGAAATTTATAGCAGAGACATGAATTTCTCAGATCATAGTCTTTTCCAATGCTTGCTTTCTACACTCTAGGCCATAACATCATGGTAGTTACAGACAGGGTTAACATTCACCTACCGTGTACCTGGATGGACACTGTTACGTAAGGTGAGCAAGAGCCACTGTGGCAAGTTAACTCTTCGAGTTTCCCTATGTCTTAGCTCTTCTGCCTGGTATAGTATATCCTCTCCTTAGCCATCAATATATCACTGAGCAATTCAACAATTTAGAGATCAATGTCTGGTTTAGCAGATCCCCAATATCCCCAAATCAGGGATCCAGCTTGCCAAACTCTGATGCCTTTTAAACATATTTGATTTAATTCTAATCTCCCAGGAACATTATATATACTGCACCTGTGACTTTGTAGCTTAAATAGCTGGGGAGGGGTGGGAGGATGTGGGGCAGAGAGCATTACATTTCCTCCCAGCCTATCCTAGCCTCTCAATTAGCACACATTGTTACATGCACAACCAAGAAGCCTACTCAAGTAAAGGAGGCAACACACAAAACCAGAAGCAGAGATGTTGTTCTTTCAAAGGAAACTCTTGTTCTGTTTGTTTACATGGGCAATCCAAGTGCCTCCTCAAAGCCTATTCAAATAAAATTCATTTTGGGGTTTCTCTGTTTGCTCATCCACAAATTATATAATCTCTAACCTTCTTTTCAATTCTCATTGTCTATATGTCTGTGTCTTTAAGTAAATAATATTTTTTAAAAGTTACATCATTTTAGTTGCCTCTGTGTGTGTGTGTGTAATATTTTATATAAAAATCAGAAGTTTTCAGGGTGAGAATCTGTTCATGAAACACCATTGAACCAGGTCTAAGCACAAGACATCAAGGCACAAATACTTGGAACACAGTGAAGAATATACTGAAAAATGACTGAGGTTTTTAATTAATTCATGTTATGCACATTTATATTGCATGGAAAATTTTGAACCTGTGTAATTTAGAATTTAGACTCAGTCTCATAAGGTTTCATACAAATTCCAATGTTTCTACTATGGTAGAGCCAGTTTGGGTGAAGTTGAGTTAACTTTACCCTAAGTCAGTTCTGGTCCCAAACAACATTAACTGAAATTACGTGAGTAAGCGCTTGCCCACAGGTTCTGGAACCCAGTCCTCTGGAGAGAAAGACTGAAGAACAACACAAGTGAGAAAGACTGAAGAACACAAGTGGGTGCCATCTCAAGTAATCCTTTCTGCAACAACAGAGGTAATACAGGAGCCCTGCATCATGTGGGAGGAGCCCTGCATCATGTGGGAGGAGCGCTGCATCATGTGGGAGGAGCCCTGCATCAGGTGGGAGGAGCCCTGCATCAGGTGGGAGGAGCCCTGCATCAGGTGGGTGTAGCTGTTCAGGTGTATCTTTTCTTTCAGAGCTATAAATCCAGCCACACAGATGGATACACTCCGTGTCCCAAAGCAAAGTGGGTGACATGAACAGATCTCCATTCTTACCAATCCCATATCCCTGTCCACACTTATACTCCACAGAATTCAGCTCTGAAGTGGGTGGTGGACATTCTCCTTGCAGGTTTTCGCACAACTTGAATTCCTGGGTCCACAACCCCTCTTTAGTGCAGAGGATGGGAATCTAGAAAATTGAAATTAAAAAACACTACTATTGTTATTTCATTAATTTCATTGTAGGAGGAGGGAAAGTGGTCTGAAGTGGTCTGAGTAAATGATAATATCCTTTAACTTCTGGATCTTGAACTAAATGATGATTAGAACAATAAGTTGAGTTAGAAATGGTAAACAGAGAATAAGAAAGAGAAAGAAGAGAAGAAAAGAAAACGAAGGAATGATGGATGGAAGGATAAACAAATAGGGAACCCAAGACAAGCTCTTGCTTCCAGGTAAAGCAATCATAAACAAATTTTCCATTCATAAAACTTACCACCATTATGTTCCCCTTCAGCTCTGAGGATACAATAAGCTGCTGACAAGAGGGGTGTATTCCATTCTGTTTGGGGAAATTTTCCCCAGATGATGTTGTTATGCCCTGATTCATACATGTTTTAACACAAATGTTGCTTGTGGCAAATGCTGAAAATTTTCCAAAGCAAGTTTTGTGTAGTGAAAGTAATTAATAATTTTCCTAAAGGTATGTCTTGGCCTCTCTACTGAAATACATACATTACTGCTGCTTTTAGTCCTGTTTGAAGTCTATTCCCTTTCTCCACATGCCTGTTGCCTGGTATAACTCTTGGCTCACACTAGAACCCTCTACAAAAAAAAATGTATACTCTATCTAGATGTAACACAGAGAAAATTAAAAAGTATAAAACCCAAGGGAAGAAATACAGATCTATTAATAACCCAGCCTTTGTCTGGTAAACCCGTTGCTGTCTTAACTAGTCAGTTCACTCTGGCATGTCTGATGTCTTTGGATCTCATTTTATCACACATTCTTTTCACATCTGTTCATGCCAAGGGTGTGGTGAAGGCTATTGATTTTTGCCGCCAAAGTCTACTTCACTTCCTGTCTCATGTATGTGTGTGTGGTACTTGGAGTGTCTAAAATAAAACTGTGTTTAGTCATACAATCATGATAACACTGTGGTTTTAAGTTCAGACTTGTGCCAGCATCCTAGGGAGGGTAGTAGTCAAACAGCACTTTAACATGCTTTGCTCATCAATTCATGTTTTTGTTTGGGACTTTGTTCTATTGTCAAAAAAGTAATCCACAACTCTTGTATTCCTACCCAGGTAGGTCAGTTGATGCACAAGAGTTTACTGCACTGCCAAATCAGGATCCTAGACTAGCTTGACATGAACCCTGGTACCCTACTCACTAGTTTCTTCTCCTTATCTCAAAGAAAACTCTGAAATTGGAAGAGGATGCCTCTAAAACACTAACAATGTCAGGAACTCTCTATGAAATATCAGTGCCTCTCATTAGAGCCCAGCTGCATGAAGATTTGCCTGCTGGGTTTTAAAGTTCACTTCTCAGAAATCATGTCATGGTCATGGCTGTACAGGTGAGGGCAAAAGTTCACAGAGTCTTCCTTACCCTTTCCGTTTCCTGGTTACAGTTGAGCACACACTGGCTGTCCAGCTTGAAGCCATCAGTACATTCATACATGCCTTCAAAAACAGGAGGAGGAGGCTCACAAACCACAGGGACACAGTTCCCTTGTTCCCAGGTTCCATCATCCAAGCACTGGATCTTCAGGAACTTGCTAATAAGACATGAAACCAAACATCCCATAAGGAAAGACTGAATCCTCAGAAGTGTGTAACAAACAGCAAATGGGACCAGTGACTTGACTCAGAGGGTAAAGGTGCCAAGCCTGATGACCTGAGTTGAATTCCTGGAACCTACATGCTGGAAGGAGAAAACTGACTTTCAAAATTTCTCCATACATCTCATGCCATATGTATGGGAACACACACACACACACACACACACACACACACACACACACACACACACACACAAAATAAACAAAATAAAACGAGAGAGCAATAGGTTCTATTTAGCTAAACATCCCATTGTGTGTTATGAAATTGAAATGTCTTCATTATGGTTAGCAGTGCCAGGAAGTCTTGTATATTTGACTTGCTACTCCAACAAGAGTGAATAAATAGCAACTATTGGACTGTTTATGGGCAAAGTTTCACATATAAGCACATTGGGAGATGTCATATAGTTCAGAGTACAGCAGTGTTGTCACATACTCAGGGGAAGAATCAGATAAAACTTGAAGGTCACCAGTTCTATGGTGTTACATTTGCTGAAGTTGTTAATAGCCATTGCTTCTTTGAGGAGAAAGAGTTATTAAGAGTTATTGTTCTGAAACAGAGGCTCACCTGACCTTCAAATGACGATCTCTTCACTGAGTTCACTATCTCTGTTTTGTTTGTGTATACATTGATTCCCCCCCCCTTGGAATAGGTTCCCACCTTTCACCAGATCGTTCAGTAGGTATGACTCAATAATGTCCTAGAAGAACTATCCCTCTGTCCCAGGCCCAGACATGGCCCCCAACCAGAGACTGGGCTTAAGATGGATGGGAGTCAGACACACCAGGGTTCTTATTCCACTCTACTCCCCTATGACTCACTGAAGTCAGAAGGTGCTTTCCAGTCTGGCTGTTTTACCATATCTACTTCTGATTCACAAAACTCGTAGTTGTGGTAAGCTTACAACTGAAAATATAAACAAGATTTTCGTCTCTGGCTCTCTCCACCATGTAGATGGTGGCTTTAAATTGCCATCTACTTTCTTTCCTTTGTGTGTGTGTGTGTGTGTGTGTGTGTGTGTGTGTGAGAGAGAGAGAGAGAGAGAGAGAGAGAGAGAGAGAGAGAGAGAGAGAGAGAGGAGAATTCTTTTTGAGACAAGGTCTCCTCTAATCCAAGCTGGCCTCAGATAAGGGTGAAGTGCACTTAACTCCTGGATCCTTGGACCAACATTTTCTAGTTGCCTGGTATTACAGGCTTGTGTTACATGTCCAAAACATTGAAATGACATTTTCTCGTATCATAATCTCATTTTAATATTAAGATACATATATCATTCTATATATACTTTTAACTAACAATTGTATAATATCTTTTGTGTGCTTGTAATATTTGCCCATTTTGCTATAAAAAAAAAAACATGGATCGCTCTGTTATACAAATGTAGAAATTATTTTTTTCCCATTGGGTTGGGAACTTAGGGTAGATAGCAGCTGTGTCATTTCTTGCTTTCAATTTTTAGGAACCAGTATATAACTGAAAAGAGGAACTAAATAAATGCTTGATTTATAAATCACTAAATAACTTCAGGTAAATTGCAAGACATATGACAAACAAATCAACTTATCGTAACTCTCAGACAAAAACTCTACTTTTATCTCCCCTTATAGATAAAGAAACACACTGTGGTGCTAAGTTCTCTTTTCCCAAGAACTTATATCACAGGATGCATTTGCTTTCAAACAATTTGAATAAAAAATAATATCTCCTTAGCAGGTGACATGCTACACATGATCTCCTTAGCATATGTTAGGTATGTTCATTGTGGAACTCTATGCAAATAAAAGAGCATGCTCTGTATTACTTAGTATGTGGATTCTTTCTCACAAAGATGATACTCCAAAAGTGTTTTCTAGTAAAGGTTTTGCAGTTCATTTTACTGTAATAAGCTTCCTACATATACCCTCTTAAATTCAGTTGTCTTTTTTATTTTCCCCTTACCCTGTAGAGTTTAAACCCTCCAGAGGAATTCCTTCTTCTCCCACCAATCACAGTTGAGACCCTTTCCATATCTCTGGTGAACTGACATTTCTCAAATATAGAGAGCCAGCAATATCACTGACATCAGGAGGGAAGCCAGGTTGTTCCATCTCTCCTTGTATGTCAGTGTGATTACAAAGGAAAACCCATGTTTGGCCAAGATGACAGTATTTTTTACTTCATGTGGTACTTTTCTCTGAATTGGTTAAAATAGTTCAACCATGGAAACAGTCTCCCCATTCCTTGCCCAGAGTGAGAAACCATTTAAGAATGTAGAGTTCATGCATTTCCTTGCCAGTTTAATAACATAGAGGTGAGAGTAGACAGATTAAGCTTGGATTGGGAAGACGGCGTCTGGATGTTTGCGGTTGTACCCACACAATGGGACAGATCCTGTGCTGCAAACCAGCAGTAGCACAAAGAGGGAGACTGGTAGGTAGCAAGAGAAGCAGCACAGCTAAGGCAGAGGTCGCTGGACTAGGTGTGCGTGAGGGAAGGCAAGCATCCCTATTCCCTCAGCAATCAGGCCCTTTTGTAAAGGTTCCTATACGTTTCTAGGTTTTTGTTTGTTTGTTTTTCAGCTCCTGTACCTCTACATCAGATGATAGTGTTTAGGTCTCATTCTCAGACTGCTTCCAAAGCAGTCAGCTGATTCCTTGTGGTCCAGTAGTGTGGGGTGCTTCATTGTGCTGACCATGTTTACCTGTGGATTCATGATTAATGGCCTGAGTCTTTAGTCATGGAATGGAGCCTGTGTGTCACGGGATCTTTCTGCCTATTTTGTTACATTCCAAAGACACTATGATAATCAGAAAATTGGAATGCCTTGGATAATTTCTAGTTCCAAGAAACTTGATTTCTTTCTAAGGCCTATCTGAGACTGAAGCCTAAAACATTGTACCTACTTTGCTTTATTCAGTTACTACTATAGACAATATGATTGTCTCTTCTCCAACTGCCCAATTTATGGCAAAACCTTAATACTCAGCATGACTGCATTAGGCAGGAGGACAATGGAGGGATAATCAAGTCATAAGACACAACTCTCATATGCGACTATAGTCCTTAGAGGAAGGGACACAAAAACTTACCTTCCTTGACTACAGTCTTTCCTGTGAGGACACAGCAAAAATAGCATTTGAAAACAAAAAAGCATGTTCTCAGAGACGAAATCTACCAACACTGTCACTGAGAACTGTGAGTAATAAGTGCCAGTTGTTTTAGTCACTCATTCTACAGTACTGTTATTGCAACTCTCTAGACCAAGGCACTGTGACATGATCCTGATCTCCCACTCGTGATAGCTGCCTCCGTAAGATGCTTAATCTGGTGATGTCACAGACTGACCTTATAGACTCACTCTTATAGGATTATTCGTGTAAAAAAAATGCCTTTACCCCTCTTGGTCCACTTCCTTCAAACAATATGTGTAGATCAGGAGCCAGGAGACTCTTCAAAGTCATGGTGTGAGTAGTTTTCAAGGAATGATATCAGTAGGCACTGATCCAATCTGTACAGACAGATCCTTCCCAAGACAGAGTACAAGACTTCTGTGAAAACTCATCCCACTATCTTTTACATAACACATTCAACTCTGAATTTTCTTTATCCCAGTGGGGTAAGGGAAGTTGAAAGTGTTGCCTTTTACAGGAAAGTAATACTAGTGACCAACTAGGTGACTTTCCCAATTACTCACAGTTCTCCGATTCAGTGTTGGTAGATTTCATCTCTGAGAACAAACTGCTTTGTTTTCAAATGCTATTTTTGCTGTGTCCTCACAGAAAAGACTGTAGTCAAGGAAGGCAAGTTTTTGTGTCCCTTCCTCTAAGGAAACAACCAGCTAAAGGTGGAGTGGAGACTGAAGTTTTCAAGATACAATACAACATCCCAGCCATTAGACAAATGGGTTTCCAGTGAAATCTGTAGAGTATTCTCACCAGAACCAAGTAAGAGTTATTTTGCAAATCCAGATTATCAAGCATATTGAACCAAATCTGGAATTGGCCAAAGACACTTTCTTCCTTTCCTCTCTGCTTTCACTCTTTGCTTCTGGCCCTTTTGATCCTGAAGTGTTTGAGACCAAGCCCAGAGCCTTCTGTATATCTATTATTGAACTAGATCTCTTAGTCTCGACCACATAGATTTTTTAAATTTGCCCATATTTTTTATATTCAACAAGGTTGTCAAACTCCTACAATTTCTTGTCCTTCCCATACTAGTAAAAGTAAGTTGTAAATACAGGGAAAATAGATGGGATCATCTACCTAATAAGCCTGAGACCATTCCATCTGGTCCCTGCTGAGCATCCAACTTTTTGGCAAGGGATGTTAGCCGGGCGATCTTGCTCTCTAATTCCTTATTTTGTAAATGGCATCATGAGGAGATGGGGTTAGGCTAAGGTTTGCATTTATTTTCTTTCTAACTTCTCCAGACAAATCACCACAATTTCCAAGTTGAGAGGTACCTTTTTCCAATTTCCAGAGCTTGTGGTACCCACCTACTGTTGAAAGCCCAGCTGTGCCTTTTCTCTGTCTTATATCCCTGCCAGAAGTAAAGACCTTGTAATCAAAACTTGGCTGCATGTTTGATTGATGTTGCTCGAGGCACACACGAGTCTACCCCATTTTTCTATCACCACTGAAGGCTTGTCAAAAGTCATATTTATGTTCCCTTGGAGAAATATAAGAGTATGGTTTCTGGGTCCAAGAGAATTATCATGTCTTTGCCAATCAAGGGCATCTGGTGTCTATAGTGGGGAGTCCTTCGTGAAAATAACATTAACAGAAAAAGATATCAAAGAGTGAAGAACTAATCTTTTGTAGAAGAATTCTTATCAATATAGCTTTACTCCCAAACCCTATCTACATAGTATGGACTATTAGTCCTTAGTTCTTGGCTTCCACATCTCTGCATTTACTCACCCTCAGACATCCTCAGCACAGTGAATGACATCATCAAC